CTGCACTGCCTATAATTTTATGAACATGGCATGCATGCTAAAGAAAAGTAACTTGTAGACAATACTCCAAGAAAAATAAAGCAAAAAGTGTAGATGATGGCTAAAGCCAGAACTGTTAAGGAGTAAAACAGCTGACGTTGGTTACTTTCCCAGTGCTCCCCAAATTTGCAGTATTATAACAATTTCCTTTTACTTGTTTGGTAATGTGATCTATGTTTCATACATAGGGAAATTGAATCAGAAGTGATATATGGTCACATTAAATTATGTAATGGTAAAGCAGAACTAGCAATGCTCAGACAGTCATCTGCACATTAACTTTCACTTCACACAACTTGAGACACCTTCTAGATTCTCACCTCCTGCTCAAGTGAAAAACTTGCCTTGCACTGACAAGTAGCTCCAAGTTAGGGTTTTCTCAAACAAAACATACTAGATCATCTAAGAGCTAGGTCAGGCAACAGGCTAAGACTCCAAAAGCCTTAAAAACAAAACATGGAGTGCAGAAGAGGAATATCAGTGGGGAGGTTGCCCTCTGCCCTTCCTTATACCAACAGAAAACAACACTAAGATGTGAGTTGAACAATCTAGAAGTTGAATCAAATTCCCTCCTGTTGGCCCCATGAGTCAAATAAAGAAGAATCTAATGTAGATCTCTACAATAATAACCAATGCAAACGGCCATAAATATAAAATTAAATCTCCAGAGCATAAACAACAGAAAATCGAACAATACCTGAACAGTAGTAAAAGCAAGCCTGTAAGCTGGCAAGCATTTTATAACAGAAAATTCCTCATGGATTTTTCTTAGAAAATTTGAATTGATTAAAGAAAAGAATGCTAATATGGAGATGTAAAAAATTATTATGTTTCCCTTCTCATTCAAAGATTAAGCATATATAGCATGGTGACAAAGCCTAACACACAATAAGCTAGAACCATAATCTTGATAAAGATAGAGACAAGAGAGGTTTTGACTCTTGAGTAGTGAACCATACATGGGACCCGCTTCCATTGCCAGTGCTGCAAGTATGATTGAAGCCCTGACAAATTGATGGCAAACATAAAAACCACCGTTCAGGGGAAGAGGAAGAAAATAAATGGAAAGTGTTATAATTCCAGCTTAGAAGAGAAGAAAATCAGAGTGATCAAAGGATGATAAAATAATTCATTCCCTTAACAGATTTTACTTCTTCTAATAAGAGTTATGAAAAGGAAAGACTGGCTGGATTATTTCGAGTTCATCATTTAGTACCAGAAAATTCAAAAAACTAGTGCTTCATGTGTTTTAGTGTTGCAGGAATAGCTTATGACAATAACGTTCGAAACAAAAATTTTACTTCTCAATTTCTTCATTCCAGCCACTAATGCCACTAATGACATTCATATTCTTCTTCTTCTTTTTTCCTTTTTTTTTCCCATTTAAAAGAGACAGAATTATTTTCCTCACTTCTTTGTAGGTTTTGATAGATGGGTTTTTTTTTTTTTTTTTTTTTTTGGTATTGTCTTCAAGAGTGAACAGAAAGTTTATGTGTTCTCCACATCCATCAAAGAAAAAATGTTAGAAAACATTTATATGGATAAATATGGCAGAAAAAAAGTAACTATTTGAAAAGATCAAGATGGATAATTAAAACAAAACTTCATGATATAGATTTCTTGTTAAATGGTATGCCTAAAAGAGTTTGCTAAAACATATGGATAGACAGATCCAGACCTATTTAATCCGATGATCCTACTCCACGCGTGGAGATATTACATCCACCTCGTCTCAAATATTATTGAAGACCCGAAGTTGGAAGATAAGATTAACATAGGAGATTAAAGAAAGGGAGGTACTCGTTCCAAATGGACTCCAGCTCAATGAGGTTTGGGTTGATCGATCTGTCAATTGTAATGGATGGGCAACTTATAGAGGCATCACTCGTGACAAACTGGGAAATTGGTGAACTTGGGCAACTTGTAATCTTGGCCAAATTATCATTATCTGCAATTTACTTGAAATCCAATTATCCAGATCCCAAACACCTCCAGCTTATAATCCGATTCTCCATATGCTTTAGGTCCTGTTTGGCATGAAGCATTGAAAGAAAGGGAACCGGAGATTGAGATTGGGATTGGAAAAGTCTAGTCAAAAAATACTAGTCCTATTTATAGAGCAAAGAGAGAAGACATCCTTTTGGTCCTATTTATAAGATATTGAGAGAAAATTTTTACATGGATGTACAATTTTACACTTGATTTGTTGTTATGTTGACTTTGTTTATATGAGATATAGTATATATTAAATAGGGATAAAATTAAAAAATTATTAAATTTTAAATGAGAGTTAATAAAATTTAAAATTTTTCTTATTTGTGTAAAACATGTTGGAAGTGACTTATAAATAGAATCAAAAGAGTTTTTGGTATAAACAATTATTTGTTACTTGAGATTCGTCAAACCTATATAAATAGAATTAGGGAATGCTATAAGCGAGTGACATTAGGAATTTAATCTTGGGATTGAGAATTTTTTAGACCAAAATACCCTCTCTTCTATCCAAATAACAAAAGCCTTTTTAAGAACAAGGATATTATAGTTTTTTATAATTAAAATAATTTTAAAATAAAATTAATGCAATCATTTTCTTCAAATATTATTCTATACCAGACATAACTTTAAATCTCAATTCTACTCCTAATCTCATTCCCGTTCCCAATCCAATAAAAGTGAGACCCACGCGCTAAACATGGCATTAGATTCACCTAAGCACAATAACAGAAATTCTCTAGATTTTGAAGAAGGACTTTTTCTTTATTGGAAAAACTATCCTAGGTTCATCCATTGCTTATTAAGCTAATCATGACTATTTTGACACTAATGTCCATAATACTCTACTTCGAAGTGCAGAGACACAACTTTATTTTGTGTTTCACAATCTTATTGTGTGGTCTTTGTATTGAAAAACTCATTCATATCACTAGTGGTGTTGATGTTATTATCCATTTATATTTGCATCTTATAAAAAATTGTTACTTTTTTAGCTTCCATAAATGATGTTAGGGGATTGCATGAAAATTTTTATTGATATAGATAATGTTGGCTTCTTTTTTTTTTTTGTATGCATAACTATCATCTTATTAGTGGAAATTCTATTCAAGACATTGTCGGATATTAAATGTAAATACTTCTCCTAGTGAGATTTCAAATCTTGATTCACCACCTTTTGAGGGAGTACCCCTTTCCACTGGACTCATTTTCTATTAGTCTTGACCATTATTTACATCAACGGATCAAGTGAAATAGGCGTGATAAAGATTAAAGGGCCTCAATTATCTACAACAAAACAATATAATTAGAATTATACTGAGATTTTACATATGTATATTGAAGATTAATTTATCAAGGTAAAAACATGGACCGGACTGGCTGGTTCAACTAAAAAACCGATAAACCAGTCTTCAACCTTATTAAGATTGCTTGTTGAGCTAGAGATGAAATCAACCGGTGACAAACTGGTTTAATTGATAAAAACCTATGTTAAACTTGATAACCGTTGGTGAGGGTGGGTTGTCCGGTTTAAAATTTTTGCCTCCTAAAAATGCACAAAATAGGAAAGGAGAAGAAGGTTTGCGGAGAAAAGAAAAAGAAGGGAGAGCAAGAGGAAAAATAGAGAGAGAAATGCCAAACAAACCTTATTATGAGAGAGAACTCCTAAATATGGTAAAAAATGAAAAATGAAGTGAAGAAGCATTTTAGTGTGGAAACCAAAAACCATGGAAGAAAGATAAGGAGATGATTCAAGGCTTTATCATGGGACTAATTTGTTATTGAAGCTCTGTGAGGAAAACTAAGAGAGACAGGAGAATGGAAAGATTGAAATATACTTGATTTTTTAAAATGTGTTTAGCATCTTGAAGTTTTTTTTTGTGCATATAGTATTATAAAGTATTTTTTTTAAGTGTATCTAACATTCAAAAATATTTTTTGGTGGATCTAGCACAAATGCAAAAAAAAAAAATCACATACCTGAAAAATACTTCAGAATGTTAGATACACCACAAAATATTTTAGGGAGCTAAATGCACCCAAAAAATATTTTGGAGTTCTAGATGTATCTTAACTCATTTTTCTGAAGTATCCTTTTAAGTCATAACTACCATTATATGGAAACCCCTTAATACGGGCAATCAATAAGAATACTTTAGAAAATGAAATACAAATTTAAAAGACAAAATGAATTGAGATATTATATTTAGGAACAAATTTAATATTTAACTAACTCTTATATTAATATATCCAAGACAAAATTACAAAGTTCTTCACCAAAAAAAAAAAATACAAAGTTAAGATCGGCAGGTGACATGATAAACTAACTTTTTCATCTAAAACTTTCAAGCGCTTTTTCTCCTTCTTTTAATTTCATATTGTTTTTCTTACAGGCTCCATAAATAATTATCTTAAAAGATTATTACTAAAATTTTTACACAAACTCAACTAATAATAATACTACAAATAATTAAATATTTTCACCTTCCTTATAAGATGACGTGCTTTTTGAAAATTTAGAATTACAATTTTCAACTGAAAGGGAAGATAAATAAATTTTGCATTTATTTTTCATTAACAAAACATTTAAATAGACATGTATCTAATATAGATCTCATGCGTTGTATAAGTTTTGGAAAATAAGTTGATATGTGGTTAATTCATTATTAATTAGTCATTTCATACAACTACAAGAATTCAAAGACAAAATTGGTCAGCTTTGGCTTCAAAGAAGAATTTTTTTCCTTTTCGAATTAAATTAGGGAGCTCATTTGCAAAAAGAAATAAATTAGGGAGGTGACATGATAAGGAAAAATAGGTTAAACGGTCGGTTGATTTTAACGGTCGGGAGATTCAAATTTTGAACTATCTCCCCTCCCACCATAGGAATGCCTCAGAAAGTGTCGAAGCTTTTTTTATCTTACGAACTTGAACTCCTGAATTCCTTCCTGAGAGAAATAGCATTCTCTTACTGCATCTCATAGTTTGCCAAAATTCTTTTTTACATGGAGGCGATGGTTTGCCAAAATTCATTTCAGCAAGACCTGAAAACCCTAATGTCAGATTCTTTCGATTCGATGGTTTGCGACCCCACTTCAAGATTAATTCCTACTGGGTTTAGGGGATCTGAAAGCTCAGGTGACAATCTTCGAAATGAATATATATCACTTTATTGTTCTTGTTATTACGGATTTATCTTTGTTGAGCTGAGGCATCATGGCCGACAATGAAATATAAATTACGAGTTCGCTAGGAAGAACCCTAATGAAACTGTAAATGTTTCTTGTCTTTCTTGTTTTCTTTTTTCACAAGCACACTGAACACGTAAGGGGTTTGATTTCACTGAGTAGAAACTGATTCGCGTTTGGAGACTTAGAAGAAATGCAATTGAGTTCAGGCCGTGCTTTTTCTGATATCTGACTGTTTGAATAGTTCTGAAAACGTGCGATTCTGGGAACTGGATGTCTAACTAGCTATTCTATATATCAGTGATCAATTTTTCATTAACTATGACGTAGCGAGGCATTAATTGAAAATTAAGGACCACAGTTATTTAAGCTTTGGTTGCAAAGCAAAAAAGGCTATTGCCGACCAACATTTTCATTTTTCCGCTGGTCTTGCTGAAAAACAAAAGCCTAGAGGCATGAAGAACTTCTAAGACTGTAAGACTTCTACACTTCTCTGGAGGATCAAGTATTTACTTTATTATTACGGCTTTTTGAAGGAGAGGAATATGTGCTGTTCGTAAATGCCGGGGAGGAGGCTGTAAATGAAGCAGATGGTGGTTTGACTATCATGGCCGACTCCTTCTTTGAAGGTGGGAATGTTTTACGTACCGATGAGCAAATAACGGAGGCTGGAGATTGTCCGTTTATCTATCAAACAGCACGGTTAGGAAATTTTTGCTATAGATTTGATAAGATTCCTCGTGGAGACTACATTGTGGATCTTCATTTTGCGGAGATCATTAACACAAATGGGCCTAAAGGTATAAGGGTGTTCAACGTATATATCCAAGAAGAAAAGGCAAGTCTGTCCAACTTTCTTTCTCTTCCCCTATGTATTTTACTTTAAAACACTTGTAAAACTAAAATTTATGCTATATCTTGAACTTTTTTCCTTTAAAACCATGTCAGGTTCTGTCTGAATTAGATATCTTTGCGGTTGTTGGAGCCAACAAACCACTACGGTTGATTGATTCAAAAGTATCTGTGAAGGATGATGGTGTAATTCTCATAAGATTTGAAAGTATCAATGGAAGCCCAGTGGTTAGTGGGATCTGCATCAGGAGAGCAACAAAGGAATCAGGTATTTTCTGCAATATTTGATTTGCATCTATAGTGTATGTTTTTTCACATCTGTACTTAACAAGATGCTAAGATTCCATGTATACATAGATATGTGTGTGTAACTGTGTCTATATATATATATATTACTTAGCGAGTCATTGTCTACTTATTGCTTCACAAATTTTACTTATGATGCTCTACTTTGTGATATTCAAATAGTTCCCCAAGGGACATGTGATTACATTAAATGTAACTACTGTGCCGGACAGATTGAAATTCCTTCATCACAGGTTAGAGGCAACCTAGCTGATTGTGGCAGTTTGAAGCTTCAAAACATTTTTCTTATCTCGCTTTTCATTGGAATGTTTCAGCTGAAATCTATGCAAACAAAATCTACTGCGAAATACGAAAAGAAGGTTGAAGAGCTTACCATGCAGTGTCAGTTAAAGGCAAAAGAATGCCATGAGGCATGGATGTCATTAACTGCAACAAATGAGCAATTGGAGACTGTCCGGATGGAACTTGACAATGTGACATTTAAGACGCTCTCTCTTGGTATGTTTTAGTAAGGACCTTTCTACCGAGAGAAAACGCAGTTGGAATGTACCAAAGTTAAAGGCGAAACACTTAATTTGAATTATTGAGATTTCTTTATGTGGGAATTTAAAGATCTTATTGTGCCATTTTTAAGCATTGCTTGAAGTTTTAGCTAATTTAATGAAGTCTGGCGCATGTATATATTGATATTGGCACAAATACTCGATTTTAATTGATATTTTTCAATCCTAGGTCACAACATTACTAAGTAGCTAAGTGCTTATTGTCAATTTTCTTCTCAGATCAAACTGTGGAGAAACAAGCTGAAAAGTTAAGGAACATTTCTAGCAGTTATGACCATGATAAGAAGAAATGGACGGAAGCAATCAGATGTTTACAAGAAAAAATAAAGGTGATGATGCAGAGGAATGATGTTAAAAACATAGCAGTTCTATTATTATTATTCTCATACGTAGATCTTAGAAGCATCTGCACCTGATTTGTTTTGCAGTTGATGAAGAGTGAACATGCTCAACTTTCCCGTGAAGCACATGAATGCGTCGATTCAATCCCTGAGCTAAATAAAATGGTTTTTGCAGTTCAGGAATTGGGTATGCTTGAGTTATAAAATTTAATATCCATTCTAATTAATGAAGATTTGGGTTGCAATTCACGTTTCGGGTTTTCATTTGTCTAATTCATATGAAGGGACTAACACAATCTTTCTGCAGTTAAGCAGTGTGAAGATTTTAAAGTGAAATACAATGAAGAGATGGCACAAAGGAAAAAGCTATTCAATGAAGTTCAGGAGGCTAAAGGTATGTTCTGTGCTCCTGCCTCCTAATTATTTATTCTTGGTTGACTGTGTTCAAATTATTTGATGGGAATTATAACAAAAATTTTGTTCCGCATAATAGGGAACATTAGAGTTTTCTGTCGTTGTCGTCCAATGAATAAGGATGAAACCTTAGCTGGGGGTACATCAGTTGTGGATTTTGATGCAGCAAAGGATGGTTGCCTTGGAATTTTGACAGGTGGCTCCACCAAAAAAACCTTTAGATTTGACCGAGTTTATTCTCCAAAAGATGATCAAGGTATACAAATATAGTTAAGAAAACCAGTTTTCTTCTTCTTTTCAAGGCACCCCACCTATAGTTTCATCTTTTTGCTGTAATTTATAAGGCTCATATCATCCGCAGGATTCTAACTAAGGACATTTGCTTTCTTCGACAGTTGATGTTTTCTCTGATGCTTCAGCAATGGTAATCTCTGTGCTAGATGGCTACAACGTTTGCATATTTGCATACGGCCAAACAGGAACAGGAAAGACTTTTACTATGGAGGGAACAGAACAGAACAGAGGAGTAAATTACAGGACTCTTGCACACTTGTTTGAAATTGTCAAGGAAAGGAGTGAAACATTTGCATATGAAATTACTGTTAGCGTGCTTGAGGTTTATAATGAACAAATCAGAGATCTACTGGCTTCAGGACTATCATCAAAAAAGTATGGCTTCTATTTCTTTTATTTGATTTCAATATTAGTCTCCGAAAGCTTTTTCAAGCATGGTAGACTATGTAGGGAGGTAAAGCTTTTTCAAGCACTTGATTTTAATCAGAAATCTGATGCAGTTGGGATCTTTTCTTTTGAATTTGTAATTAGGCTGGAGGTAAAACAAGCCTCTGAAGGTTCTCATCATGTTCCCGGCGTTATAGAAGCCAAGGCTAATAACATTGAGGACGCCTGGACTATACTGCAAACTGGAAGTAATGCGAGAGCCGTTGGAAGCAATAACGTGAATGAGCACAGCAGTCGATCTCACTGGTACTAATATCTTGCATACAAACACCCCCCCCCAAAAAAAAAAAAAAACAAAAAACAAAAGAAAGACACTAGAAAAGGCATATCAGCTTATCCGTGTGTGCCTATGTATGCGAATTTTTCTTTCTTTTATACGATGTTTGATGTTTTTATGTTTCTTCCTCAGCATGCTTTGTATAACAGTAAAGACAAAAAATTTGATCAATGGTGAGTGTACCAAGAGCAAGCTTTGGCTTGTGGATTTGGCAGGCAGCGAGAGACTTGCAAAAACTGACGTGCAAGGCATGCGACTTAAGGAAGCACAAAATATCAATAAATCTCTTTCAGCTCTTGGGGACGTGATATCCGCTTTAGCAAGCAAAAGTAGTCATATTCCATACCGGTACACCTTGCATCCTCATTCATTTCACCCTTTGCTTTCTATAATATGTAAGGCGTAATGGTGCAGTCCATTTCTGGGAATTTCAGGAATTCTAAATTGACACATTTACTTCAAGACTCCCTAGGTATGTTAATCAGTTCTCCTTTGCCCTTCTCTTGCGTTTTTAGGAGTAGGGCTCTAGCTTCTGTTGGCTTTTCCCTTTTTTACTCTTGGTGGAATTTTAACTTCGGTAGTATTTGTTGCAACATATTGCAGGAGGCGATTCCAAAGCCTTGATGTTTGTACAAATCAGTCCTTCGAACCAGGATTTAAGTGAGACTTTGAGCTCACTAAATTTTGCAACTCGAGTGAGGGGAGTTGAAATGGGTCCTGTCAAGAAGCAAATTGATACAAGTGAGCTTCAAAAGGTGAAAGCAATGGTAGGTTTCCGGATCTAGCTGGAACTTTTACGTCCAAGTTATACATTTTCCCATGTATTATAGAATATTAATGCTTACTTCCTCTGCCGAATTGATGTAGCTTGAAAAGGCACGAAATGAGTGCAGAACTAAAGATGAATCCATACGGAAACTAGAAGAAAATCTGCAAAACTTGGAAAGTAAGGCCAAAGGCAAGGATAATGTTCACAGGAACCTACAGGAAACTATTAAAGAGCTTGAAGGCCAAATTGATTCCAAGATAGCCGTGCAAAAACAGTCAGAGAGACAAGTTCTTGAATTGTCAAACAAATTGAAGGGAAAGGATGAAACATGCAATGCTCTCCAACATCAGGTTGCTTTTTGCATATGAGACTGATACATCTTTTATTTTTATGCACCTAAGAGCATTATCACTTTTTATTTATATAACTGATCGCTGATTGTTCACTGTGGTTTTGGTATTGGACAACTTACCACCGGGGAAACCCGAATGACCCACAGAAGATATGCTAAAAATGATAGAGTCTGTTAGAATGTGCTAATAACTTTGTTTTCGTTTTGTTTGGGGGGGGGGGGGAATATGCTAATAACAGCCATTCATTAACTTGTCACTCGTCAGTGCCGGCTAAGCGTAAATTTATCTCTGCTATAGGTCAAAGAGCTGGAAAAGAAGCTGAAAGATAAATTGCAGTCTGAGACAGCAAGCTTCCAACAGAAGGTCCGTCTGTTACCTTGGGGAAGCTCTCTTTCATCCCATTCTTAACTCTTGAAGAAACTTCCTCTGTTTGACTGACCCAATTATAATCATATTCATAATTTTGTGGGGGAAAAAATGAGAGAGATTAAATATACTATATTGCTCAAGCAGGTTTGGGATTTAGATAACAAACTGAGAGAGCAGGCGCGGGAGTCTGAGTATCAATCTGCCATTTTAAAAGACAAGGTAGACAATGACTGGGATTTGTTGTATATATATATTTGTTCTGTTTTCGTTAGTGGATGATTAAAGACCCCTCCGCATGTGGGCTCATTCAGGTTAAGGAGCTTGAGAGGAAACTGAAAGAGCAGGAACAGAATTCAGAGAACTTGATTCATCAAAAGGTACCTCTGAAGAAGAAAATTAACGTCTGTTCTACATACATTTAATTTAACAACATGCTGTTTGATATCAGCTTAATATAGGAAATATAGATTAAGAGGTAGCTGTTTTTTTCTTAATATAGGAAATATAGATTAAGAGGTAGCTGTTTTTTTCTTTTTGGGTGAAAAGAGGTAGCTGTTTGATATTCGTAAATTGTTACATATATATATATTTAGAGAGAGAAAAAGAGATTCTTGGTTGGGGGAGAGTCAAAAAGAAGTTTAGGAGACTATTTACATCTAATGCATGGGATGTGACAATGCGATGGCAGGTAAAGGAGGTTGAGGACAGGTACAAAGAGAGAGAGCTGAAGTGGCAACAAACTCATAATTCTGTTGATGGGGTGAAGGCCACTCCTGTCGAAGGTAAATATAAAAGCTGCACAGGAGAGGACTATCCAAGCGAGAATGAGCCTCGCATTCTAAGGAGTTCAAACTCAATAAACCACTCGACAAATCAAGGTTCTGCTGCTTCGTTGAGAGGGAACGACTCCATTAATCAGATGAGAAGTAAAAGAGAATTCAGAAGCATTGAAACAGAGAACAATTTCGTTGACAGGAAAGTCATGAGGAAATCTGATCCTCCCAAATTAGGAAGATTAGGGAGGACAACTAGGCCTGTAATGGCTGCTTCTCAAGCCCCATTGACCCACAAGAGAGTCAGCAGAGACAGGGATCAGGTTCAGGGGATTAAAGAGAGGGACAACAAGAAGAAAATTTGGTCAAGATAGCCTAAACATGGTTAAAAGGAGCATACTTGCTCCCAGTGTTGTAGCTATATGTGAAGATCTAATTGTATGACCCAATGCATGCGAGGTGCAATTGTATTTCTATGTTAACGCAATTATTTGTGCGTTTATGTGTATTAGCAGTTATAACACCCATATCTGTTTCTAATGTTTTAGTGGAGATTTGAGCTGATATCTCCAATTAATTTGAAGGGAAAATTGTTTAATCAAATAAAGAAACATTACATAAAAGAAGTACTCCATGCGTAAGATTTCGATGACTCTTGCAAGTTGCAACTGATAAGTCAATGTTATGGATCCTCTAAAGTTTGAAGATTCATAAATTTCTGTAACGTGTATTGTTCAAGTGTTTTAAAAATGCTTTTTCGGTATACTAAATATGTAAAAAATTAAAAAATATTTCTTAAAAATACTTTTTTAATAAATCAAACACTCCCTGTATCTCATTATAACGAAGTAAAGGGTGAAGAAAAAGACAAAGGAAAAACTAAGAAGCGGACATTGAAAAGCACGTGCAATTAAAAGGATGAAGAAATGAAATGATTGTGTTTGGTGGGGGTCCATGATTGATGCATTGTCCGAAGCAGATGAAGAAGACAAAAATCGGGTTCACTCGTGCTTCCTTCTTTTTTTATTTTTAAAATTAACAATTTCACTTCATGTATTTTTTGATTCTAAAAGGCAAAAAATATAAGGAAAAATGACAAATAAAGAAAGAAAAATGACACAAAAACAATATTTAAATTTTGAAAACCCTAAATAATCACTTGAATAAGAAAAATTCCTATTTAGTCACACGTAGAGATTTTAAAATTTAATGAAATGACTAGATTGCCTTAAATGTATTGTTAACTATTGCAGAAGTTGCAATACTACCTTACTTATTCACTGTAAAAGTTTTGTCAATGATCATTATCTTTACTAACAACTCTCGTATAGCAACTAACAAATTTATTATCTCTACTAACAACTTTAGTATTGTCTTTAACAAAAAGAATTCAACAAAATGCTAAAATGGCCATTTTTATAACTTCAATTACACTGTTAACAATTTCAGTATAACTATTAACAACTCTCTTATGGCCAACCTCATTTTAGAGTTTGTTACAATTTGGAGAGATAGGTTGTATAATCATGAATAGAAAATTTTACAACTCTCGTATAGCGGTTAACAAGTTCATTTTCTCTACTAACAATTTCAGTATAACCTTTAACAACACAAATTCAAGGAAATGTAAAAATAGCCATTTTTACAATTTCAATGATACTGTTAACAACTTCGGTATAATTATTAACAACTCTCGTATGGCCATTAAGTACCTCAACTCAGAGTTTGTTACAATTTGAAGAGATATATTGTACAATCATAAATGAAGAATTTTACAACTCTCGTATAGTGGTTAACAAGTTCATTATCTCTGTTAATAACTTTAGTATCGCCTTTAGCAACAGGAATTCGAGGAAATACCAAAATGGCTATTTTTACAATTTCAATGACACTGTTAACAACTTCAGTATAATTATTAACAACTCTTATATAACCATTAACCATCTCATCTCAGAGCTTGTTAGAACTTAGAGAGATAGGTTTTATAATCATGAATGAAAAATTTTTCAATTCTCATATAGTGGCCAACAAATTCATTATCTCTATTAACAATTTCAATATTACCTTTAACAACAGGAATTCAAGAAAATGAAAAAATGGTCATTTTTACAACTTCAGTGATGCTGTTAACAACTCTTCTATAGCCATTAACTACCTCATCTCAGAGCATATTAAAACTTGGAGAGATATGTTGTATAATCATGGATAAGAAATTTTACAACTCTCATATAGCAGTTAACAAATTCATTATCTCTGTTAACAACTTCAATATCGCCTTTAACAACAAAAATTTGAGAAAATGTAAAAATGACTATTTTTACAACTTTATTAACGCTGTTCACAATTTCAGTATAACTATTAACAACTCACATGAGGTAAATAATCATTATTGGCCATTTTTTCAACTCATTTTATAGGAAGATGATACTATAAAGACACGAACATGAAACATAAACATTAAGTGCACTCTTGTCTTGCAAGTTCTATAATAATTAACAATACTGTTAAACCGAATAACAACTTTAGTTAACCTCATTACAAAATTTGAAAAATTTTCAATTTGAAACTTGCCCCTGAAAAAGTTGTGGTTAATGTTATCACTCAAATTATTAATAACGTTATTGAACTTGCTAACCTGATCATTACAGAAGTTAAAAAAATTCCTAATTTTAAACTTACCTGGACAAGTTGTGATTAATGTCATTACTCTAACTGTTAATGATGTTATTGCACTTGTCAATTTTGTTACAAAAATTAAAACTTCTCAGTCTGAAAGACTTGTGGTTAATGTTGTTATTCAAGTTGTTAATAACATTACCGCACTTGTTATTTCATTATAAAGTTGAAAAAAAAAACTTATGAGATTAAAAAAGTTGTCAGATATTATTGTATCAGCACAAAACACACATTCAATTAACATACATGTAAGGCCATTCAGCTATAAATCCAAAAGCATTCCAACCACACACTCCAAAACATGAATCAGGCACAACTATATATATACACAACCATTACGCTCTTCAAAATTGTGTGTCAACAAAGAACTATATGTAATCACCTCGTTTTGCATTGCACCTTCTCCAATTATCATTAACGACACTTGTAAAGCAAATAACAAGTTTACTAACGCCATTTCCCAAAAACAGCATCTCATTCATAGTATTTGCATGAATAGCAAGTCCAACCAGTAGCGGCTCATTGATCTCGTGAGCTCCCTTCCCACCAATCCTTCTATGATAGTGCCAACAAAAGAACAATATGTAATCACCTTTTTTTTTGTTTTGTAATCACACAAAAAAAATCACAACTTCTTGCAACTTTCAGAATCGTCATATAGCAGCAACAATTCACCTCTTTCAACTACATAGACCTTATTCTTCGTCAATTGATGATTTCCCTCCTCCTAAACTGAATCAATTTCACTACAACACTCATAGACAAGACCACAGAAAAGAAATCTTAGAAAACCTTACCTCCCTATGAACACATATACCTTCCGCAATAGCTCCTTTCCTCGATGACTCGATGATTTGGAGCATGATAGTTTCACAACCTCCCTCTTCTCTTTCTTCCTATTCAACCATACTTGAAACCTGTGACTCTTTCTTTCCTTTCTTTGAAAATTTACTTAGGGCAATCTAGTTATTTTATTAAATTTCAAAATCCCTGTTTAGTCACGTGTAACTAAATGAGAATTTTCCTTATTCAAGTAACTATTTAGGGTTTTCAAAATTTAAGTATTATTTTTGTGTCATTTTCCCAATAAAGAAGTTGAAAAATATGATATTCCAAATCAGGCATCTCAAAGTTGAAAATGATAGAAAAAGAAGTGATGTTTGATTTAGTATTTTACAAATATAATTAAATGACTAAAAATGTCCTTATATCAAAAAGTTTGTTAACAAGTTCTGAACTGACAATGACAAGTGTTAAATAACAAATGACAAGAATTTACAGTTGAGAAACTAGTTGGAGTATTTGAATACTTCAAACTTACTCTTACCGAGAAGTTATAAACACACAAACATGTCTTGATAAATTGCACTCAAGTTGAACCTTTTCCCAGTAAGTTGTACACTGATTTTCTTTTTTATGTTTAAAATTTCTTCATTATTGCCTTCTCTAACAAATAACACTATAGGGAATTTAGAAGATATGTCAAGCGGCAGCTACGGGGTCGTTGACAAACATCCGTTGAGGTTTACAAGAGAGTCCACAGAGAATTTTTGAGTTGGTTTACACGTCGAATATGTAATGACAACACTCCTCACATAGCTGAACTCAAAAGTCTTGCATATGGTCTGTTTGATGATGTCAGGAGGTTTACTACATATAATGTCAATGGGTTCAAGTTCTGTATAGTAGCGCATGATCAAGTTTGCTCACACAAAACTCCAGAGTTTTTGGCACGTTTGGACCAAGGAGTTATGCTAGTACCAGTGACAGTGACATATGATTTGGAGGCATTCCTTATATGAAAAGCTAATTGATATTGTTGAGTTAATTATCCAGGACTTTTCATTGTCATTCTATTCAAGTGTTGCTGAGCAAATACGACAACTTCACGTGGACTCACTACTAACGAATTGGGTATCACATCTGTTAATTTCCCTAGGCTTATTCATACGGGAGAATATGAAGATCATGAGCCATACATTCTTGCCTTTAAGGCACACCAGGTTTATTATATCGAGGACGAGAGACATAAAGATTGAAGTATGGTGATCCACCTCAAGCTGTGAGATCTTTATGACATGGGTAATGAACTAATGATGATGACGACATCATTTATGACAATGAACCCTTCCAACCAACGAATTTTGAAAATTTCTTCTATGAAGGAGATGACAATTTACCAATTGTTAGGTTTTTTTTACATATAATTTTGGTTCATTTTTGTTACATTAATTAACATTTTTGTTTTACTTAAATTTATGTGTGTTATATATTATTCTTATTATTTGACTTTATATATCTCCTTGCAGGCAAGGTGATGAAGACTAAATTTTCAACAGTTCATTCCAAATCATTTTTTTCAAAATTAGTAATTTTTTTTACAAAATTTTATTATTTGTTGAGTTTTTTAACCACTACAAAACTCAAAAAACCGCTACAAAATCTAAACGATATAATATCAACTAAACTACTACAAAATGAACTAAACTGCTACAAATGTCACTGGCCATCTATAAATACACCACTCTCCCTCTCATTTTTCATACCTCCTCTACCTCTCCTCTCCTTTCTTTCATAAAAAAACCTCCATTTCTCTCCTATGATATTCCTCCTCCCATTTTCAAATTGTAAGTTTTTTATTGTTTATTTACTTTTATTTTCTCATATTATTAATTTTAATTTACTAATATTTTTTTCATGTAGAAATTATTTATTTTTATTTTCTACTCTTTCTAATTTATTTCTTATATTTAAATAACATTTCATAAATTTTTTAATTTTACTATTATAAAATTATAAATCTTCTAATAATATTTATTTTAATACTTAAAATATTACTAAAATTTC